CATTCAAGGTTAAGGCTGATCTTCAGTTCCAGACTTCAAATTTTCTTTGATCTGTGTTTGGTGGACTTACCAAACTTCCCCCCATAGTCTTAGCTCACAGTCACTCATGGAGTGTGAATTGCAGTGATCTATTCTGGGGTAGGGACCGTCATTTCCCTGAACTCAGTTATCCCACTGGGAGGGGTTATCCTGATTAAACAGCTTATCCCAACTTGCCATCGCTGCCTTTCTGAATTACAGGGGTTTCAGCGTTTGGTGATATCTGATGACATCAATCTATTAAACTAAATCCTCAATTATTTTAAGATATAGAATGTTTCATTACTTTTATAATGTTGGAGCCTTCTAAAGGTTAAATCAGGTTATTTAAACCCTGAGTTCTCTGAAAATAGAATGTTTAACTGCTTAAATGATGAACATTGAAGGGTGAAAAATTAAAATCCAAAATAAGTATCATCCTAACTTTTTCAGATGTGTAAGAGAATAATCGACCTCGCCAATGAGTCCTATAGAAAGAAGCGCTGACTGTTCATTTAATGGCTGAGGTCATGGTATCGCCTGACTATTCTTGACCTAGTTCCCAAAGGAGAAGGGGTACTACAGACATCATTTTCACTTTATCTGCGTATTTTATAGTTATAAAATTTCGGTTTGCATAGATTCCCCAATATGCTGAATGTGAAACTTTTAAACCATCCTTTTACTAGCTATCTTGTTGTGAACTTAAGGGTCTATAAGAAACAGGGAATTAATGAACCAGGAGAAGACAGAACCCTGCCCTAACTCTTGCTTCATTCTAGAAGCATTATCTGACACAAGTAGGAGAAGGATAATTCTTTTTGATTTAAAGATGTTCCATTTCCTTACCTCTTATAATGGGCCCATAGCTCCACAGAAAACAGGCTCCTGACAGGCGGGTGCAGGCAGGTGTTGCCTTCAGTCTCCCTTTCCGACAGCTTCTTCTGTTTCTTTTTCGTCTCCTCTCACTTTCCTGGTGTCATCACAGTTTTTTGTTTGTTTGTTTCTTGAGACAGAGTCTCCCTCTGTCACTCTGGTTATTTATAGCTCACAGCAACCTCAAACTCTTGGGCTTGAGCAACCGTCTTGCCTCAGCCTCTGTGCCCACCACAATGCCTGGATAGTTTTTCTATTTTGGGTAGAGACAGGGTCTTTCTCTTGTTCTTGTTCAGGCTGATCTCAAACCCCTAGACTCAAGCGATCCTCCCACCTCGGTCTCCCAGAGTGATAATCACAGTTTTTATTTCAATATCCTTGCTTACTGGTGCCCCACAGGACTCTCAGCAAGGGTCTGGGGCACTGGTAATGGGACTCCAAGATTCACGCAGAGAGACAGAAGCTGATAATATTGTCAGGACTGGCTTGGCTGACTGTACCTGTCTCTGAGGTGGGGACCCTGATGTCACAATGACTGTCCTACTTTCTCATTTACCTGTAAAGGCATCAGCCTTTTCTCAAAATTATATGCACTGTTGTTTGTAGAAGTCAGCACTTATTATTCCATCTAATCTTCAACCTCTGATTTACTTCCACATAAAACGCTTATTAAATTGTGGCTTGTAGTTATGTTTTAAACTCTCCACTATGCACTATGCAATGTCTGGGGATGATGCTTTTTTTTTTTTTTCCCAAACAAAAATATTTATTTACTAGCATTCTAGGAGGCTGAGGTGGGTGGATTGCCTGAACTCACAGGTTTGAGACCTCGCTGAACAGGAGTGAGACCCCATCTCTAAAAATAGCTGGGCTTTGTGGCGGGCACCTGTAGTCGCAGCTACTCAGGAGGTTGAGGCAAGAGAATCACTTGAACTCAGGAGTTTGAGGTAGCTGTGAGCTACAATGCCATGGCACTATACTGAGGGTGACAAAGTGAAACTCTGTCTCAAAAAAAAAAATCTAATTCACAATTAAATTCCTCAGACAAATTTTAAAGCTGGCTTGTAAGCCAGCTCTCATATTTTTTTAATCATACTGTCTTTGCCATCTACAAATATTTCTAGGGCTTAAGCTTTAATTCATTTAGGGATTGGGTTTGGGAAAATGTTTGAAATCATTGGTAATCTTGCCCTTATTTTTTGGTATCAAACCATTCATTCATGCATTCACTTGTTCAATCAGCCAAAGCTTGTGCATTTGAATCTGAACCTGGAACTTCTTAAAGCCGCCTGGGGACATGCAAGCAGAAATGGCGTCTGGCTATTCAGTTCTTGATGGCTTCTTGGGTCTGCACTCTTGACCTAATTCCTTCCATGTCCACATTGGGTAGTTGCTCCTGTACATGAAAACTTATTTCATGACTTTTTAGTGTCATAGCTACTTAAAGAAGTGAACATCTGTGTATCTCAGCCAAGGAACTGAGGACGCAGCCTGACATTTCTTTCCTAAATGTACAGGCGCATGAATTCTGAGTTTATAAAGAAGAGTGATACGGTCCTATAATCAAAAGCCTTGACAATCTGGATTGAGGAGCTGTCCATATGCTCACGTTTATCAGATGGTAGATGGGTAAACTGTGTATGTGTGTGTGTATGCATATGTGTGCATGCTTGTGTGTGCACATTGTGTGCACATGTGTATGTGTGTGGGCATGTGTGCATGTGTATACGTGTATGTGTGTATACACATGTGTGTGTGAGTGGGCACATGTATACAGAATTGTGAGGACTGGCTGCACTGTAGGTGTCTGCCTTGCTCAGGCTGTGTCACCGCCGGGTGTCTGAGGAACCCAGTGCTCCGTGGTGCCTTGTCCTCATTCAGTTGGCCAGAATGTCTACATCCTTTCCACAGACACTGCTTCAGATTAGATCTTCCCCTCCTCACTCTGTGTGGGAGAATGCTCTGAATCTCAGACCGAATGTGAATCCCTCCCTTTTAAACTTGACTTAAAGTGTTCAGTTCCAGAGAGTCGCTTAAGTGGGTTCTAGTTCCTCTCCCTGCCTTGGGCTATCTCTGAGCTGATCTACATACACTGTCCCTGTTTATCCAAGTCCGTGCACACTGTCCAAGTCCGTGCACACTGTCCAAGTCCGTGCACACTGTAGCACACGAATCCCCTCCAGCCCCCTTCCCCTAAAAAGCAGAGGAGAGAAAAATGGTTTGTCTGCAGGAGGGAGCACATTCCTGAGGAGCCTGGGCCATGCGCTCAGAGGCCCGGGGTGAGCAGAGGAAGCCACCTTTTCCCAACCAATGTGACCCTGTCCCACTGAGGGGTCTCAGCTTCCTACAGACCTTCCCTCATTGGGGGTGTCAGGGTCCCTCCTATGTTCCCATCCTCCAGTCACAGCCAGCTCCCCTCTACCCCCGTGGGCTTCACTGTGCATGCGAGACTTTGTTTGCAAGTCTGAAGCCCTAAAAACTGGTCATCCCCACCTACATCCAGAGGACTGGATTGTCCCCTGCCACTTCTGACAGGTCAGTCCTGTCAGAGAAAGTGGATAGTGGAGCCGGTTCCCTGTTAAGGAGAGGGTCCACTTATGATCAGACAAGTGACACCCTTCCGTGAGTGACATGACCACACCCCAGCCCTGTGGTGCCCTGTGCTCAGAGCAAGTGAGCCTGGGAAAGGCCGTCTCTAAAATACAGCTGAGACTCATTCAGCATTTGAACCACTCCAGGAACACACCTCTCTGCTTCCTCTAGAGCTGTCTTCCCTCTCCTATCTCCACGTCCCGTTAAGCTCATGTGTGACACCCCACAGTACAGTGAGCACAACCAGTAGAAACATCATGTGCTTCTTGGGAGAGTACACACACTTGTGCACTGGCAAAATATTTTCCAGTTTTCTCTGTAGTTCAGTTTATGGGATCAGCTTTTTTTTTTTCTGGAGGGGGTGGCAAAGCTTTGGCGCCAGCTGGAATTCACTCTATAGTTAGAATTATTGAACACTTGGAGATTCTTTGATAACAAATCATAGTCTTTCAGACTGAATATTCTTCTTCCAGATACTTTGGCAAAATATGAATTTTCTTAAGTGGTTTCCAAAGACCTGGGCAGAGGTGGTTTCTATAAAAAGATAGAAGTAGTTCCTGGGCTCATTGCTCAGTGAACTCAATGCTGTCTGTGGACGGGACTCATTTTCCTGCAGTTAATGGGCTGTTCTCTGGGCCTTTCTTACTTTATCTTTGAATTTTATTCTCTTCTCTCTTATCTATTAATATGGATCATTTTACAAAATT